GAAGATTCTCCCTTTGACCTTCACATTTCCGAAGGGACAGCTGAGAGCCCCTACTCCACCCCAGCTTGCCTGGCCGACAGAGAAGGTGAGCAGGGGACGGAGGGCTGGTGGCCTCTGCACGGGAGCATCAGGTGCTGAGACGCGATTAGGGCTGCTGATGTCGGCCTCCCTTCCTCTGCAGTTCCCGGTGACTTGGCAGACTCTTTGGAAGATGCTCCAAGCTGCATTAGTTTAGCATCCTTTGACCTTGAACGTCTTCTGCTATTCGCACACCCCACTGGCTGCCTTCCATCCAGGCAGGTGGGAGCCGGGAGCCAGGACTTTGTCACTTTCCTGAAGACCAGATCTGTGGCACAACTGGTGGCCTGAACCCCCGTCTCCACCCCAGGCTGCACGTGTCCCTTGCACATGAGCCCGTGAGACCTCCTCTGCCCCCGAGGTCTGTGGCACCAGGTGGGCCGGGAAGCCACTCCTCTCCTCCCCCACAGAGTGGGTTCCTCCATGCAAAACAGCAAGAAAGGACAGTCGACCTCAGTCCAGGAGGGGTGAAGGGGTGCCCGGCCACAGCGCCCTCCTGCTGCTCAGCTCCCGGCCTCCTCGCCCTCTCCCGCCCCTGCCCAGGGGCTGCCTTCCACACGTGACGCTCCAGGACCCCTTTCCTTGCTCCCTGGCCCTTTTCTTCCCCTCGGGTCCCACGCAGGGAGCAGTGCACGAGGCTCCTGAGGCACTGCTCATCTCTTCCCCACTAGAGCACCCCGCCCACGCTGGACAGAAGAGGGCCTGGGCCTGCCTGGCCACCTGTGGGCCCCAGCGCTGCCCTGCCCAGGATCCAGGCCCTGCACTGAGGTCTTTTCACCCATCCAGCTCTCTGGGCTGCTCTGCAAGGGGGTCAGAACTGAGAGGAGAGGAAGGGTCCTTCCCCGGTGGTCAGCCTCCGCCCCAGCCCTAGGCACAGTGATGGGCCCTCTCAGACCAGCCCGGGAGAGGCCGGAGGAGAGGGAAGAGAGAAGACTTCTTCCTCCCACAGCCTCGCACTGTCTCAGCTCCCCCAGCATGGCTTCTCAGAGCGCCTGCTTTCCAGATCCCTCTCCTGGCCACCACCCGCCTGTCACGCGCTTCTGACCCGTCCCTCGGCTGAGAACCGTGATTCTGCGCGTGGTGTCACTTGGGCCCACTCCAGGAGTTCTGCCTTGATTGGCCTGGGGCGCATCCTTATGGGTATTTTCAAAGCCTCCCAAGTGATTCCACAGCCAAGGCTGAGGCCATAGGCTGGCCAAGGGGGCTTTGAGGAATGGTTTACGCCAGTGTTTCTCAAACTGTCATTCAGATCAGCCGGGGACGTGTTGAAATGCAAATTTTGATTCCACCGTGGTGGGACCCCAGAGTGTCTGTCTCTGACAGCTGCCCAGTGATGCGGCTGCTCGCTCTCGGACCACACTTTGATCAGGAAAGATCTAAGCCAATGGTTCTCAAAGTGTGGTCCCTAGACCGCTGCGTCAGCATCACCTGGGAGTCTGTTGGAAAGGCCAGTGTCCTGTGGTCTGCCCCAGACCTGGTGAGTCACAAACCCGAGGGGTGGGGCCCAGGGCCATGCTCAGGATCACGGATAGAGGCCGGCCCCTCTCCCCCGGGACACATCTGTCCCTCTGTCTGAAGGACGCCTTCAGAAAAGCCTTCTTGGATACAGCTCCCTTCCTGGACCAGCCAGGTGAGTGTTTGGGGGGTGAGAACAAGTGGGTAGGAATTAATGAGTCCACATGTCAATTTCTGGCAGAGAATAAATGCGCACGGTAAGAGCACAAATGTCTAGTTTTCAGACTCCAAGGGGGGTGGGGGGGAACACCTGAAACACACCAGCAATGGAGAGATGGAATTCAATTCCAAACTAAAAATACACATTATTTATCATTATCTAGAAGGAGGCTGGGAGAAGGCCATTAGCGAGAGTTTTCTGGCTGGCGCGGTTCTCAATTGAAGAGCAGCAGCCAGGAGCGCCATGTCCTACATTCCCCTTTGTCCCAGTCACGAGGCAACGACTCCACGGCCCCGCGGCTGCTCCCGCCGGAAATGATTTCCAGTTGCAAGGAGACTGGTGGGGAGGGAGGCACCAGGCTCCGAGGTGCCAGCTTCCTAAGGGGTAAGCCGGCTCCTGATGCCCCCGGGGGTGGGACCTGTGTGGGGTGGGGCACACTCTTGACACTTTCCGAAGCACCCTGGGTGTGCCCAGGCAACAAGGCGGGGTGAGGGGGGTCTTGGGATTGTCTGGGAGGACCGGGAGCCTCCATGGTGACTGTGGCTATCTGCCCTGTCCCCTGCCTGGGAGGCAAAGAAGTTTTGCTGAAGAATGTGGGCACGTTGCCCTGGAACCCACGTGGCCTCGCAGCTCCCAATCAACTAACCTTGGAGAGCTGGGGAGGCCCGGGAGAGGAGGCGGCCCGTTTCATGTTCAGAAGAATAAGGCTGAACCCTAAGAGGGCCAGGCTCAGGGAGGGAAGGAGAGGGGGCAGACAAGAGATGTACCTAGCAATTAGCAGAGGCTGCTCCCACCTCCAAGCAACCCAGTGGCACCTGTCATCAGGGGACAGTCCATTTAGGGAGAGAGAGGACACGGCTATGTATTTCCCTAATGAGTTTTAAGGGGGATACTAGCAGTTAACATCTCCCCTTCTCCTATCCCGGGTCCCATTGTGAAGAAGATGAAGAGAAACACCTTGTCTCTGAGCCGGAGAATAAAATAGCAGGTGTGGAGCAGGAACTTGGGGTGAGACGAACATGTTCAAACCCAACTCCCCTGCTTAGCTGTGTGGCTTTGGGCAAGTCACATCCCCACTCTGGGCTTCATTCTCTTATCTGTAAAATGGGGAGAATAGCAGTACTTCCTTTGCGCAATGCTTACTGGGGTGCCTGGTGCAGGGAGAGCACCAACAAAGCACACTGGGCTGAGAGTGTGCCCCCTCACCCCTCCACCACTCACGCCCGTGCCACTCCCTCTCTGCTCTGGAGGTTCCTGCTCCCCAGGGGGCTGCCCCTTCTTTTCTTTGGGGGCCATTGTGGAGGGAGAAGGAAATGGAGAGGAGGAAAGCACGCTGAGGCAGGGCGAGGCCCTGAGGCTACATCGCTGGGCATGCATCCCAGGCCAGTGCCGGCCTCCTCCCTCCCTGTGACAGGCAAATGGCTGCAACAGGCTCCTGGGTCCAGGCACAGACCCCCTGCTTTGCACCCCTTCTCCAACACCCTGAAGCACCTGCTGGGTGCCAGGCAGGGGAGGTGGGGCCCCTGTCCTCGTGGCACCCAGCCCCAGCACTGTCTTGTTGAGCTGCGTAGATGTGTGTCCCTATTTGCCTGTGGGGACAGAAACTTCCTGAACACAACGTGGTAGGACTCCTGGCTCCCAGAGCCAGCCCGTGGAACGTCCCCACCCCAGCTCCACGTCCTCATCCCAGCCCCACGGTGCCGCTGTGTCCCTCTTCCTGTGCTATCCTGAGGCCTGACAGTCTGTGGCTCCAGGTCCCGTTTACCCATAAACTGGATTCGGTGAGATGGCCTGAGTGAGCCTCGGGGCCCCACAACCTCAGGAACCTCTCCCGGGCTCTAGGTCAATGTCTTAAAATGCCGTCAGGAAGACAAAGCGGAAGCCATCGACAAAACTGAAGAGTCAAGGCAGCGAGTAAATCCAGCCAAGGGACCATTTCAAATACTGGCCCCGGGGTGAATTGGATTTCAGGAAATGACCTTCAGGGAATTAGGCTCCCTCCCCTGGGGCCCTCCTCGCAGGGGCAGGGCACAGGAAAGCTCACAGACCAGACGTGGCCGGCTGTCCCCACAGCCCTGGGGTCCCTGGGGTCTCGCTGGAGCCCTAACGCTGGATTCTCTCATTCCAGCTGCTGATTACACTGATTTCATGGTCGTCAAACAAGCTCAGAGAAGATTCTGGAGTTTTGCAGAATGGAAGTGATACCTGAGAGGGGAGCTGCTGAGAGAAAAGGGCTCCATGGGCTCAGTTTCAGAGGTTGCGGGGCCAGACGAGGGGCCCCTCCACTTCAGGCCTGTGGCAGGGAAGCACAGGGAGACAGGAAGTGTGGAGGGCAGAGGGCAAAGGGAGGAGGAGGAGGGGCCAGCTCCCCCCAACAACCTAAAGACCTCCCGCCAGGCCCCACCTTTTAAAGACCCACACCTCCAATATCACCACCCTGGCGACCATGCCTGTCACACATGGCCTGAGGGAGACACTTACCATCCAACTATAACAGTTCACGGTGCCTCACCATTAGTCCTGATGGTCCCCACACTCCAGCCAGCTGATGTCCCTAACCATCAGTGACTTTTTGACCTTGCTTTCCCAAGCTCCATCTATGAAGGACAGGAGGCTGCAAAGGTCTAGGAACGCCCTAAGAATCAGACCAGGAGACCCAGCCCACCTGCCCCCAGGTGACCACACTCCTGCCCCACCTGGTCCCTGGAACTGCTTGGCAGGGGTCAAGGGATGCCTCTGCTGCTGCGCTGCCTGACTCCCTTTTCAGAAAACCAACCTCATCGAGCTAAAGTTCAGGTTCACCACTTCAAACCTGCTGTTCAACGGACCTTAATAAATATGTCACCCAATCATCACGATTGTGTGCTCACAAGGACAGGCTTGGCCTGGACCGTTCAGCTCAGTTCCAGGGACCTCAAACTCAGAACATCCCGAGTTCCGCTCGTCAGACTGGCTCCTCCCTGCCTCGCCTCCCTGGTGGGTGCCCTATCGCCCCACCAGCACCCCAGCCACGGTGCCACCATCTCTCTGAGCTGGGTCCCTGCAGGGGCATGTTTCCTCCTGCATCTTGGCCACCCACCCCACCTCTAGGTGGCCACCAGAGCTGTCTGAGACCCACATCTGGCCAGGCTCCACCCTGCTGAAATTATCCAGCAGCTCTGCTGATTCCAGGTAATGGCCACCCCCCACACACTCACTGGGGGTCATAGGGCCCCAGTACAAGATGCGTTGCTGTAGATGCAATGATTGTGGGTGGCCTCTGCCCAAAACCACTTTCGCACACTTTTGGACAGAAAAGCCAGGACTCAGCAGGGATTCAGAGGAGCTACCTGCCTGCTTCACCCCATCCCAGTCGGCCTGTGGAGTCTAATTCTGCATTGCACAAACTGACCACTGGATGGGCACTGACCTGTCCAAACAGGCCTCTGGGACCCGGACCAGTGCATCGGGCCTCACGGACCTCATCCTCACACTGGGTCAGAGAAGCAGGTCTCCTTCCTACTTTGCTGGTTGCACACAGAGAGAGCGAACAGCAAGCTTGGCACCGCCAATGGGTTCCAAAAAGCAGCTCCGTCTATTTACCAAATAGGATTACAATCCGCAGAATCCCGCGGGGGCCTGGGGGACTCTGAAAACACATTCATTTTGTTTCGTCCTTATCAGAGTCACCTGTTCTCCCTGCCCCCACCCTGGCCGGCTTCATCACTCAGAGACCAATGCCTGAGCAGGTGTCCCTTTCCCAGCCCTTAGAAGGCCCTCTGCTGCTCCCGTCCACCTCCCAGGAGAGAGAGTGGACAGAGGCAGCTTTCCCGAGAGACCAGACTGCTGGCCAAGGCCACTGTGGCCACTCCTGAGACCTCCCCAGAGCCCCGAACTTGCAACGAGAGAAGAACCAATCTGCCTCCGAGACTCTAGTTGTCTGGAGGGAGGGAGGGAGACAGAGAGAGAGAGAGAGAGAGAGAGAGAGGCTCCAAATAAAAGCCAGGGCAAGGCAGTAGGGACTCACGTTGTTGTGAAGGGTGTTGGACGCCCGTAATAATAAACATGTGGCAATTGCCGTGTCACTCCAGGACTAATCCTGATGCAAAGGGTTCTTCCCCGCGCCAGAGAGGGTGCAGGGTAAACAGCAGGGGAATCAATTCCTAATGCACCTTGTTCACGGAGACTCTCGGCCCATGTCCTGCTGGTGACTGTGCCAGTCCCCGCCCCCCATCCTCTCCTGAGAGCTGCTGACCTGGCTGAGGACAGGGGTCAGGTTTGGGGAGGTGAGCCAGAGGAGGCACAGAGTCCTGGGGAGGTGACACAGCCTCTTAACTCTATTCTGGTGGGGTTGGGGGTGCAGGAAAGAGATCACACACCCGAGGGGCTTTCCAAAGCGTCTGTTTCAACCATCTTACTTTACAGACTGGGAAAGTAAATCCCAGAGAGGGTGTGGAGCTGGGAGAGGCAGCACCAGCCCAGAAAGGAGCTACATGGATGGGGTCCGGTGGGCGGTTCCCGGGAGGAGAGGGAAGCGCTCTCTGCTGGGCCTCGGGTCTCGAGGTCAGCTGAAGAACTCTTCCAGGGGTGATGGCTCCGTAACTCAGGCGCTAAAGTAATGGACGCGAGAGGAAGATGCCCTCCTGGCTCTAAATCTCAGGGGTGGCGGGAGCTGGTGGTGGGAAGGAGAGAGAAGTGGTGCCCGCCCCCCCCCCACGTCCCTGAACAAACGCTGGTGAGAAAAGTGCTCGGGGACTCATCGCATCCAGGAGGGGAGGGTGCCCTTCAGCTGGTGAATCTCTCATTACCAAGGACGCTTCCTCGCCGGCAATCCCCGGGCTGCATCCCCCACCTCCAGCCGGGGACCAGGGGAGCCCAGAGCCTGACCTGTCCCTGCACCATGGAGAGGAGCCCTGGGGCGGCAGCTGCCCCACACACCTTGCAAAGTACCCGTCGTCGGAGGGATCAAAAGATCGGTCATGTTTCAGGGAGAAAAAAACGCCGAAGATATTTTGGAGGTTCAGACAGGGTCGATACAGGTCACAGGACCCTCAAATCATCAATGCAGGACACGGGCACACCCAAGACCCCTGTCTACCTCCGGACCCCAGTGGCCCAACTCGGCGGCTGCCTGCTTCTCCCAGGTTCGCTCTAGGTCATGTGGACCCGGTAATCTGTCTCCTCCATGTCCCCAGGTCCCTCCATCACTGGGGTGGAGCCCCCAGGAAAAAGGGGGCTTCTCATGAGAGTGCTGATGGTGCCCTTGGACTCTTACCCCTGTGGTCCAGGGGGGCTTCCTGGAGGAAGCAGACTTGAGGAAGGTGGGGAGAGAGGATCCACACAGCCCAGAGCCCCAGCCTCTCCAACACTTAAAAAGTCTGGGGACACCCTCAAAGGATCATGCACCAGCACTGAAATGAAAGTGACGAGGTCTACAAGGGACACAGAGCCATTTGCTCTGACCTCTGCATGGGCGGCCCTGCAGGCACCAGGAAATCCCTGGGCCTTTCCAAAACCTGCTCTTCTACCTGTGACATGGGACTGGTCAGCGGTCTGCCAGGTTGATCTGAGGACTGTGCAGGTGGTAGGACACACGCACACACTCACACACACACACACACACACACACACACTTTCCAACAGTACGCCACTATGCACTGGACTATAAGCCACTAATAAAACCGGACATGAACTGACAGAGAGAGCCCACTAAACATTTTACGTCTTGATCTCAGTGTCTCTCAATTAATCTCCTCGTCCCAGGCCTGTGGGGCGAGTCTATTACTTCTGCACTTTATGGCTGATGAAGCTCAGAGGTCCGATAATTGCCTGGATTCATGGTTGGTCCATGAAAGACCCACCCCGATTCCAAACCCATTCAACCCTCATTTCAGCAACCATACGGAGGGTGTCAGCTGCATTCAGGCAGAGCCTGGGCATCGGGGAGGAAGCCGCGTGTGGGACCCCACACTCTCCTGCCCTCGTAGAACCCGGGCTCTATTAGAATTGTAAGCACAGGGGCTCAGTGGTAGAGCACTTGCCTAGCATGTACAAGGCCCTGGATTCAACTCCCAGCACCCATAAAACAAAACAAACAAGAAAAGAATTGCAACCACAGGAGCAGGCATAATTGATAAAAAGCACTTACAAACGCTGTTCCAGGGGTTTCACATGGTCTGGGAACTAATATCATTCCCATTTTGTCCAGAAAGGTTAAGTAACAAGCTCACGGTCACACAGCTAATACATGGCAGAGTCTGAATGAGAACCCAGGTCACCCAACCCTGGAGGCCTCCTCATCTATGCTATAGAATACAAGGGGCTTTTATTACCGTGATCCTCCTAATTGCCATAATTAAAACCTTGGGGGGTGGGGGGGCGAGGCAGCTTAGAAATCATCAAACCAGAATTGGTGAGTCAAGTTTGTGAAATTTAGAGAGAAGAGGCGAGTCACTGGGTGCCAACTCGTTGCAGGGGGAAGCTCACATTTTCCTTCCACGATGAAGGTAGGAGAGCGAATTTGAGGCTGCAGCTTAAAGACAAAGAGAGAGAGGGAGGGAGAGAGACGGGTCTCGGCGTTATGATCTGCAACATCTCCACGTCGGCACTGCTGCCTGCCGGCTCCCGGGTCCCCTCGGAAGAATTAGCTCCTCACTTCGAGAGCGCTCCCACGCTCCTCCATCTATCAGGCCGACCCCGGGTGCTGGGGCTCAGCGCCGGAGTCAAGGACTGCAGAGCCGTGCTCCCAGCCCCCAGCCCCCGGCCGCCGCAGACAGAGGCACCCCGCCCATGCGGTGACTTCACCCGAGGAAGGAAAAATGGCTCTCGAAGCCGGTACATTAAGAAGCGTATAATTATGCATAATAAAAAGACACCGGCCCTTGTGTATACAAACACTGCTGTGACTGAGTACCTTTCCCAAACAGCCCTTCTGGCTCACAGCCCTGGCAATCAAGCATCTTAAACATATGGTCGCCACTCAGGCCTCCAGGCGGATCTGGGCTTGGGGAGGCAGGAGGGAGGAGGAGGGCGAAGACAGTCGTCCAGGGAGGGGGCTGCGCCAGGGCTGCAAGGCCAAGATTAAGGACATGTGCGCTCGGGCCCTGGGCTGGACAGGGATCGCCCCCCAACCCCGTTCCACCGTCATCCTGTGCCCTCCCCTGCAGACTCCAGAAGACATCCCCCGCAAGGGGTGGGGGGCTGGACCACTCTTCTCCAGGGAGGGGAGCTCCTGCGTGGCTTGGCCTGCCTGTCCATCAGGAAGAGCTCGTGGTTTTGATTTTGAGGGTGGCCCCCCATTTCTACCCACACGGCTGTCCGTGCCTATCCCCTGGGAAGGGACGTGCCTGGGATACGCCTTGGGATCTCCCACCTTGGGTCCCCTGCAAAGGGTCCTCTGCCTTGGGACATTCCACCTGGGGCGGCCAACGGCTCCTGACCAGGGCAGTGTGACTCCCCGGCTGGTGCTCAGCTCCCAGGTCAACAGTGTTTGTTGACCCTGTGCTGGTGGGCAGGCCTCGCATCAGGCAGGCGGCCCAGCTGGTCTGTGCCCTGTGTCCACCCGGGGTGGAGGAGTGGACGGTGCCTGGCCTCCTCAACCCACAGCAGGTCCCGGGTGGGCTGTTCACACGGGCCTCCTTCCTGTTCCCCTGACCCAGAGCATAAGACGAGGACGTGGGCACAGGGTGTGTCTCGGAGGTGACCCCGGGAAGCAGGCACCAGGAGGCAGGGAGAGCCAGACTGGAAAGGGAGAGAGACAGCCAACGTCTCTTCCGGGCTCAGTCCCAAACTGAGCGTCACAACTGTCCTTCAAAGGCCAGAGAGGGCATTTCCCGCGGACGCCCTTCCCAGCAGTGGGGTTCCCGTCTTCTCCCCACACCTGCAGGAGGCCCTGCCCC